GGGGATATAGCTCATGGTCCTGAGGCTCTTACTCTCCCCAGTGAAGTAGGCTCTGTGGCCAGATTATATTTCTCATAATGCACCCAGTCATATAACATTGCACAACACTGGGCAGAGGAAAACATGTATCATGGGAGGGATGTCTGGGAAAGAAAGATGGTGTGAGCTGCAACTCTGATGCACAACAGGACAAATGGAGATAATGCGACTTGATTTGAAACAAACTATTTGGAGTTAGTTAAACACTGAAATATTCTGATTCAAATCAAGCCAACCTGAAATGAGATATATTTTATTTCACTTTTCCCAAAGGAAAATCAAAAATGTTCAGCAAAAATTTCCAACAGAAAATATATATTTTGCAAAACAGCATTTTCTGTTATAAATTCCTGATGAGCTGTAATACTGATTTTAAAGATATTTCTGACCTACAGTGTGTCCCTTATCTTTCTCGTACTTACTCTGTCTCCTACATCAATCATCTTTCTCGGTGTTGCCCTTACATTTGTAAGAACCAAAGGGCCAAATCTATTATTCCCACAAAGTCATTTCATATTACTATCTAGCTCATCTTGTTTACATCCAATCCACCCCAGTCTTCTTGCATAAAAATGAATGTGTGGTCTTATAGCGTTAAACTTGTAGGGCTCTCCCTAATGTAAACATGAATATCTGAGGACAAAATTTAATCTTTAAAAGTCTGTGATGGACCAGTGTTGATATTAGACAAGCTGACAGGTTGGGGCCATTTTTCTTAGTGTAGTATTAGTCAAGCAAGGAATCATCATAATCCTAGAAACTAGACAGTCATTGTAGTGATTTTATCACGGGGAAATTGTTCATACATCAATAAGACTGCTACTAGGAAAGAGAAAATAAAAAGAGAAAGTTAAAATTGCTTTAGATCATTATCATCAGCATGTCCCTCTAGATTCAAAGCCTGAATCATTTTTGGAAAAGGGTGAAATAAGAGGGTTGTTATTGGGAAACTTGCTAAGATAATCCTAGTCTTTGTGACATTAGTAAATGCAAGTCTGATATCTACTGAGGAAATGGGAGAGGTGTATGGGAGAAGCAGAGATGGGGGAAAAAAGGAGGAAAAACTGTTAAAGCCTAATTTCTTAAGCTTGCCTTTTTCTTTTTTCTTTGTTTTTTGTTTTGTTTTGCTTTTGTTTTGCTTCCAGAGATGGCTTTTCACAAAGGAAAAGTGTAATTGATAAAGAACAAAACAATATGATATTCCCTCCATGCAATTTCAATTAAATCTAGAACAAAAAATGCTAATATGGGTCTTGGCATGTATAGGAAGAGAGAGGTACAAATGAGAATGATCATTTCAAAGGTGCATATCCACTTTGGGAAGTGCTCATGGAGCTCCACGTAGAGGTGGAGACTGATCATCCATAGAGGTTCAATATGGTACTAGGATATGCAGTGGCAGGGGATGCTTCTGTGATCCCAGTGGTTATATGAGGAGGACTGCTTGTGCAAGAATGGTTAAAGAGTATCTGGTAAAGAGGTGCCTATATAAATGGCTGCAGAGAGAGATTGTTCTGGTGCAAGAGGGTGTATGTCTGTATGTGATGGTGATAGGTCCCATTCTTTATTAGAGATGTCATATTTGTGTGTAAGGCTAGGTATTGTGGCAGTTTTCCTATAGAGCAGTGATTCTCAGTCAAGGTGCCATGAGATCCTTTTAAGGGTGCTGCACCATATTAGCCCTGCTAGGTGTGCAGACATGATTCACATGATAAACCCAGCAATTTCAATTAGGAATCCATAATGAAAAAAACATTCTGACCTGTAGTGGTCTTGCTGAGTTCTTTACGACAGAAAGATTGCTATATTATTTTTCTGTAGTCAAAAATGAGTGAAAGCTGGCATTTGCTGAGGGGTGCCTCATGTCTAAAAAGGTTGAGAACCATTGCTACAAAAGTTGCCTTTTGATTGGAAGATATGTGCAGGGCTGTAGATTGTGGGTCTTTTTTGTGAATGGGGACTTTTATCTTTGTGTTCCAGTGAACTGTCTACATAAGGGGTATCAGTACAATGGCAGGAAGTCTTTGTAGGATGTGACTGTAGTCGGCTATCTGTATAAGATGTGATGGGTTGTCTGTGGAAAGGGTGTCCATATTGTGGGATATCTTCAAGATGTAATGGGATTGTTTTCATGTAAACGGTGTCTATAAAAGGACAGCCGTTTTTGGTGCTGGGGTATTTTTTTTCATATAAAAGCTACCTGTGGGGAAAATTTTCTATGAGATCTGTACAGGGAGCAGGGAGAGAGAGTTGTGTGCGATGTGGATAGTCTTTGTATAAAACATCTCTTGTGTGGTAGTTGGGGTGTAACTTGTATTTCTGAAGAACTTGTGTGAGATTGCTGGTTGCCTTGTTACATGTGGGAAGAGATACCGGTGTGTAATGTGGATTGTCTCTGTATAAATTATTTCTGTGAGTGAAGGCAGTTTATCTGTTAGAGGATGTATACCTTACAGTGAGATGTTTCTGTGGAGGTTGTCTCTGAATGGAGGTGTCTGTATGAGGCCTGGTAGTGACTATATTAGAGGTATCTGTGTGATGGTGGACTGTCTTTGTGTAAAGCGTCTGTAGGGGGATAAGTGTGTGGGATGTCTTTGTTAGCACTGCTGTCCCTTGTCTCTATGTGTTGCTGCAGGGGCTTGGGATAGGTTGTCTGTATATCAGCACCTCGAGGGACCACTCCCATTCTGAAGTCACCCACCCACCCCACATTATAGCTCTCTCCTCTGGGCAGGCCACGGCCATCGTGTCCTTTATTGTTGTAACTCCCAGATTGTGATATTGTCACAAAACTGTTGCTAAGCAACAAATGTGGTTACCAGGTCTCAGCGAATAGCTGAAGGGGAAAGCGAAGTGTTGCACCATTGTAGAGTAACCATAGCAATGACCTACTATTACAGACTAAAGAATTATCATTAACAATGTTAAAGTATCAAATGGAGGCCCAGGATCCAGAGACTTCCAGGCAGCATCTCTACATAACTGAGTTTTCCAGGAAGAGACCCCAACTCTTTCAAAGCACTTGACTCCTTACCTCTCTGGGAGGGTGCCTTTTGATATTATTTTTATTTTTGTTTTAAGAAAATAGGTTTCATGGGGTTAAGGGGACACTGGTAACATAATAGAAGCCTATTACGGTAAAAAAATGAAACAGGTGAATTTTTACGTACAGGGAAGGTACAACAGAAATTGCACTTTCCTGCCTCAATATAGTGTACAGGCTTATATAGTTAAAGGGATTGGTTAAAGTGATGTATTATCTGTTTTTAAAGCCATATAGTTGACTGCCTCTTTAAATGCCTGCCAAAAGATAAGTCAGAGACAGCAGAGTGGAAACTATTACTCCTCACCAAAAACCTAAATATGCTTTTTTCTTAAAGTTAGACCTAATGGATAAAGCTGCTTTAAGGAAACTGTCCAGGGACATACAGCTGTCAGTCAACAGCATGTTTTTGTTTTCAGTGATGATGAGAGGACATCAAACGATCACTGTTAGCTGAACTTCATCCCTCTCCCCTCTACACAGAGTTTCTGGGAATTTACAAGAGTCACCTCTAAACTCTATAGAGCAGTGGTTTTCATCCTGTGGTCTGCAGACCCCTGGGGGTCCGCCAAGAATGACTATGATCAATCAAAAGTATGTGAATACCCACACTTCCAATTCAAAGGGGTCCATACCTCCATTCAAAATCTCCAAAGGGCTCTGCACCTCCATTCAAAATATTTTAGGGGCCTGCAAATACAAAAAAGTTGAAAACCGCTGCTATTGAAAAGCCGCGTTGCCCAGCCTTTTCCAGCCCAAGGCACACTTACATTAATAAAAAATGTCTGCGGCACACCTGTTAAGGCTTGCCTCATCCCCATACTTATGTGCTCATTGTAGCTCATTGCCGCAGCAAAATTGCGTGGCGCAGATGTTCAGAGGCTCGCGAACTGCGCATCCCCCACAGCCAGCACATGCTCAGTAGATGAATGTCCTTCTGCTTGGCTGGTTCTCTCCCTCTGCCCCACAGCCAACATGTGTGCAAGTCTTCTGTGAGTATCTCATCCACACGGCTTATTCATTCACAGCTGGAGAACTTTCCTCTTGTTATTCCAAAATCCTTGCAGCACACCAGGGAGCTCTTTGCAGCACACTTGGTGTGTGGTGGCCCACTGGTTGAAAAAGCACTGCTGTAGAGCAAGGAAATGGCATCAAGACATTCCCTGGGCTGTGGAGGCTCTGTGACAAACCAGAAGTTCCAGAGGATGAAGTGAATCACTCAAGTGGCTGGGGACAGGTTACTTGGCCAAAGGCATGAGTGGAATGGCAGGGGTTTAGGGACCCCAGCCTGGGCTCCTTGGCCTGGCCTTTCTTGCCAGGGGCTGCCCTGAGGAAGAAAGCAATAAGGAGAAAAATTGCAAGTATGCTGGGTGCCTGGTACCTTTGTCTGCCTACTCCGCTGTTGATTTAGTATCATTTAGTACAGCAGTTCTCAACCTTTTGCACCTTACGTCCCCCAACCATTTTGTCCAAAAACCCTGGTCCCCACCATGATAAAAACAAAACCCCACAAAATTGCATTGTCCGAGATATCTGCTGATTCATCTGTTTGAAGTGCAAACAGCTGATTTTTTTCCAAATGGGCAATGAGTTGAAGTCCCACCTACATGACTGTCAAGTCCCACCAGTGGGAGGCATCCCACCAGTTAAGAAACCCGGATTTAATAGAGGGGTAACTCAATGGCAGTTACATTTTAGTTGCACATTGTAACTAAATGTCCCTCCTGGACTTCAGCTGAGAACCTGCCCCCCACCCCAACCTCCCAGTCTATGACCACCAGGGGGCTTCTGAATGGTGACATTTGGTGCTGGCATAAGCAGTGCCAGTGCTGCCTGCTAAGGGCTCACCTTCCCCGTGCTGGGCTGAACCCTGGACCAGCTGCCCCCAGTGAATGAAACTGCTCTTTGTGTCTTGCAGGTACGGAGAGGCACGAGCTCACGTCCTGGAAGAGTTTCCCATCCATTTTCAAGTTCTTCAGTGAAGCAATAGAGGCCAAGACCAGCTCGGTGAAGCCGGCCCCGACCCGGCGCTCCAACAGAATCAGATATGAAGAGTTTTAAGATGCGAGAGGCATCTCGTCGCCGGCTTGTCTTCTGCAAGCAGTCTCCCAGCCCCTCATTAGATTGTTTTCTTCCTAGAGCACAGGGTCGTGATGTATACATCTAAATAGCGTTTTGCATTATTTCTAGATGAGTGCAACTGTCAAAGCAATATGGGTTCACTGGTTGTGCTTCCTGTGGGCTGTAGCTTGGATTTCGTGCTGCCCATCAGTGCGCAGATTAAGGCTGACAGCAGTACTGCACAGTGCAGCATGGTGCAGCTCTAATTGCCCTGACATAGCCCTGCACCGAGCTGATGCCAGAGTTTAACAGCTTCTTCGTGGTCCTATCGCCTGTAGGATTTTGGCTGCTTCCTTCCAGGGGGTCACTACTTATTTTTTATGATGATTTGGACAGGAGCAAACTTGGGGCTTTATGCGTTAAAGAAAAAAAAAACAAACCAAAAAACCCCCAACCAATAATGATTGCTTTTAAATGATTTATCCAGGTAGATTTTCCCCCTCTCCCATTCTTTTCCTTTTTCCTCCCCCCCAAAAAATAGCCTGTAGCCTTTTTAAAAGGCTTAAGACACATTTTTAACAATCTAATGTTCTTGTTTGTGCTTTTATAGGGTTTATTTTTAAAGCCACAGTGACTCAATTGAAATGAAAAAAGAGGGGGGAAAACACAGCACAGAGATGATGAAGTAGCCTCTGGAATTTAAAGATATATTGTTCTTTGTACCACTAACAGTCTCTTTTTTCCCCTTTTCCTTCTGACACCAGGGGAGAGACTCTGCATAAAGTAGCTCCTATGAAATATCAAATTAATGAACAGCTATTTCAGTGGAGGAACGTCCCTGAATTTAAAATCAGGTTGCCAATAAATCTGCACGTTACAAAAGAGAAGGACTACTTTCAAAGCAGCCCCTTCCGATGCTGTTTCTGCTCAAATCTTAGGCTCGGGGCTGTTAACTTGCCCATTTGCAGAGGGAGTTTGCAACCCCTGATCCGTTTGCAGTGGCAAACTGTGCTGCTTGATTTAGGAGCAGTTGTAACATGGAGTAAAAACCTGCATTTTAAAATTGGCTTGCAGAACTCTGTTTTGCTAGATTGATTTTTTTTATATTTTTATTTTGACAAAGCAGCGTGTGAATTAGTGAGAGACACAATTTTGACATTTTGAACGATAAGAAACTTTCCACGCAGTCACCTTTTCCTTCTCTAGGACCAGGCGGTAACAACTTTCTTCCTGTGCTGCTGATCAGAAGAGCCCTGTTGGCCCAAATGTCTGGGAGAGTCCCTTTGTATACATTGTTTCTTCTCCTGGATCAGTGGCCTTCTTTGTAGATCTCCACTTGCTTATGAAAGTCCTACCTTAAAATGCCAGTGGCTTTTTATTATTATTATGTTGCCAATTCAGCAACGGTCTGGACCACACTGTGAAACCGGATAGCAAAAAAACCAAAAAAAAAACAAGTCACAAGTTAATGATTTCTGCTGATTATTTTTAATTTAGAGACTTCAGTGTTCATATTCGGATTTTGTAAAGGTTTGTAATGCCTTGTTCTCCTGTAATTCTCCCGCTTTTAAATGCAGCCAGGCCTAAAATCCATCTGGTACCCCTTCAAGTGTTTGCAAGGAAAAAAAAATTAAGAGGAAGAAGGAAGTTCCTGCCTTATATGCTCATCCTGAAGTGCACAGCCAGTTCCACAGCACTGAAATCCTCAGAAAATCATTGAAATTCCAGACCTCAGAGGGAAGTGTTTTTAGGAGCTGATGTCAGCAACTTTTAACTGCTAATGTCTGATAAGCAACAATACGTGCCTGATACCGTGCCTGGCGTGCAAGGACACTAATTAGTTCTTAGAGTTTTGATGACGCTAAATTGAAGTGATCTTTTCTTCAGTGCCCGTGGCTGCCTCGCCTCTGATGCTGTTAGAGCAGGAGGCGAAAGGAGACCAAAATCAAAACGGTACTTCACCCCACTGCCGGGTGTCTTCAAGCCCAGGGAAGTCAGCATCTGCCACATGGGTTTGTAATATTGACCCCTTTCAGATGTAATCCTCCCCATTGCAGAGCTGCAGGGAGGAATCCAGCCCGGGGGGAGGGCGTTGCTGTCACAATACAAAGTGGGTTTACTTTTCTTCTCTCTCTTTTTTTTTTTGTTTTAAGTGGTCACTGTGGCTTTGGGTGCGTTTTGGCCAGAGCAACCGCAGCGGTCGCCGCGCCCCAGCCCTTCGCAGTGGCAGGAGAGATCCTTGCGGGTCTTTCCATTTTCCTCGCGCCCTGGTCCCCTGCCAAGGCGGCTGGGACACGCCGAGGACATGCACCAGCCCCTGCCGGGGACCTGCAGCCCTCTCCGCACCTCTTTCCCCCGCAACCTTTGCTTGTAACAAGAGTCCATCACTGTCAAGTTGCCCGCGAGCGCTCTGCCGGCTCCTCCCAAGCCCTGCCTGCCTGGGTCTTCATCTCTCCCTCTTCTAGGTGGCCCTTTACACATGTGATCCCTGGGGCAGAGCCCAGCTGGGGGAGGAGGGGGTCCTGCGGGCTCCAGGGCTTCCCCGCCTGCGACTGCCCAGGCTCCTCCACCTGTTGAGCCGGGGGCGGTCGCGGAGCTGTAATGCTGCTCCCTTCCCTCCTCGCCAAGGAGCTGGCGGTCCCGGCCTCCTGTCCGCTCGGGACGGGCAGGCCAGCCGCCCCGATATCTGTGCTGTGCCCCCTCCACACGGGTTTGCATCGCTGGCTTTGCATGTCACATTTGAGCTCTGTGCTTGGGGAAGGGGGTGCGGGGCGGGCGGGAGAGGTCCTGCAACTGACGCGCTTTCCGCTCCGGGCGCGCGTCGGGGGTCGCCAAGGTGCCAAATATCACCAGATCGATCTATTTTTTTATGTTTTCACGAAAAAAAAAAAAAACACTGTAAAAAAAAAAAAAGATTTGTACGGTAAGATTTGCCCTTTTTCAAGTCCCTTTCTGGTGCCCTGGCCCGGCTTGTTTTATTGCTTCTGTAAAGAGCTGCAAAGCACAGGGAGTTCTTATGGACTGTATATTTCTGGTTACACTTAAAACAAAAATAAAGATGCTCTTTTTTTTCTCTCTTCTGAAGTGCCGTGGTGGTTCTTTCCCCAGAGACTCCCTGGCATGGGGCTCTGTGTCCGGTAGGCTTCCTCCAGAGGGGACTGGACACGTCCCCCGACCGGCGCACCAAGGGAATCCAGAGGATCAGTCGAGCAGAGTTTCTATATGGTGTATGGCCGAACACCAGCGCCCCTTGCCTGCTCTGAACTCGCTTTACCTATCACTATGCAAAGAGAGTTTGCGTAAATAATAGCCTCTCTCGGATTAGGTTGTTTTTTTCTAATGGAAGTGGGTGATCCTTTTTTTTTTTTTTTTTTTTTCCTCTGGAGCAATCTGCAAGTTGGCAAATATATTAGCAACTAATAAATGGCAAAGCAATGCCCTTCTCTCCTCCCCCATCCCTAAAACGAGTAAGTGTGTAAACAAACAAACAAACAAACAAAACCCCCTCATTCCCTCCTTGCTTTGTCTGGCTTGATCCTTACAGTAAAGGATATATGGGAATAAGGGACGAATAATCAGAGGCTAATTAATGTCTTATTATTGTATCAAAGCCGCCTGGACCCCGGAGTCAACAGAGATCTTGGAGAGGGGAAGTTCCTCTCTGCTTTCTCGGTTAGAAAGCAGCCCCACGAGTTGGAGGCTCACGATTTCTGGGAGGGCACAAGCCTGTTCACCTGCCTTTGCTCCCACGGCCCAGCTAAAAGGATTCCCGTTAATGGTGCCAGTTCCCGTGGCTTGGCTTTTTTGTGTTATACCACACACCTGGGCTTTGCAGTAGGTGAAGCCGCCTGGATCCACCCATTGCATCTAGTGAAAATTTCCCATCTTGGAAACGGGGAGGAAGCTGAAAAAGACCTGTTAGGCCACCAAAGTGTATTTCAGCCCCACCACCCCTCAGCCTCTCTCCATCTGAATGCGGATTTCTGCCTTCCTCGTACTAAAGTGACTAAGTGGGAGTCTCTTGAATTGTTCCTCTTCCTTTTAACTGATATTCCATTAATCTCTCTCTCTCAAAAAAAAAAAAAAAAGATCAGTTTGAGGCTGGGGAAAAAAGAGTTTTAATCAACACCTAACAAAGCTTCACCCCCTCCTCGCTACAGAATCAGCTTTGTTATCCAGTGTTAGATTGGAAGGAGCAGTCTTGGACAGTCCTATATGTGAAGAATGTACGCGGGGAGGTAAGCTGTTGAAAGGGGGAAAATAACACAAAGTCGATTAACAGTGTTTCTAGGCGAGATGAAACCATCAAAGCATTCCAGCGTTTATCTCCAAATCTGTGTAGTGTAAAAAGGTAACAATGATAGTCTTAAACCGCACTTAGGAGGGATGAATGTTGATTTAATTGATTCATTTGGATCGATATTTTTAAAGTTTCACACCACTGATCTTTCATGTAGTGATGTCTTTAGCAGTCAGAGGTCTGACATGAGCCTTCTCAGATTTCATCACTGGGAAGCTCCATGACATCTGACAATATTAGACAGACTGAGGACTGGTAACTGTGGGACCGAGAGACCCAAATGCCAAAACGATGTAAGAGCAGGGTTGGATGCGAAGGGGGCTTATTATTTTGTCACAAATGAGCCCTGGATCTAAGAGTATCAGAAGGCTGAGGTCCCCACTTCTCCCCCAGATCTTACATCCGATGGGGAAATTTAGCACGGCTGTACTGGGAAGGAGAAAGAGGCCCTGCTATTACCCTGTGCCCCGAAGTGCGATGTGCCTGGCCACACAATCCGGCAGGCTCTGCGCGAGCATTTAAAGTTGCGGGGGGAAACTTTTCGTATGAAATGCAGCACTGGTGTGGATGGAGCGTCCGCTGTTTATCCGCTACTCAGCACCTTGGATCTAGACAGCAGTTTAGATTTATCCCCTTGGTCTTGATTAAGGGAAACGTGGGGCTTCCAGACGATCCCGGCTTTGGTCTCTCTAAGAATTGCCCTCAAACCTACAAATGGAAGCTGCCATAGATAGCCAAGATCCTCCTGCAATGCGCTATGTTTTCTAGCTACCAAAATTAAAATAGCCTTCCAAGAACTATGCAGTGTACATTTTATACTGGCATGCATCTGAAACACACATATATATAGCATTTGTTATAAAGTATGTTGTAAATTAAGTTGAAATAGTCGACAAAGCGTGAAGAGATGAACTTCTCGAGAAACTTTGCAGGAGATGGCATTTATCGTGGTACCATCGCAATGCCACACATTTTCACTTTTCTGTTCCATTTGGGATTGCATGTGCTTGTGAGTATTTCACTAGATCAGTGACAGCTCTTTATTTGCATAATTATATGCTCTGGTCTGAAGAGAAAACTAACCCCCAAATTTCATGGGTCACCAAACTGCGACAATCAATGTTTTATCACGTATGCTAAGCAAAACCTAAGAAGCTATATGAAGTTTCTTGGGGAGTTTTTACTCCTCAGAAAATTAAAGATTTTGTGCCTCTTGAATAGATGCAAAATCTTTCCAAGCTCTTTGTCACTGAATTCCGTTTGAAGGCAAAACTAGAGATTAACATGTAGATCTGGATTTTAGACCCACCAGCATTACTTCAAAGTGGGGTTAGACAGCCAGGTTTATCTCATTGCTAAATTTCCCCGGTTTAAGTACTGTAACTCAACTTTGTGGCTTCAATAACAAAAATGGGGAAATTCAGACAATCTGGAGACTCCTCAAGTGAATAGTAACTGGTGGGTTTGATTTTACATGTTCAGCCGGCTTTTATTCCTTATGTGTTTTCTCCCACCCGCACTCTGTGTGCCGGCGCGCACACGCACATAATTTTCATATTTATGCCATAGATATGACATAGATATGCACAAAATGATTTTTTCTGAGCAACAGGATTTGTTCTGGGCCATCAGCTGCACAATAACCGCATGCTCCAGTTATGGCTCACTATGGATTTCGAACTTGATAAAAATGCATTGTTAGGAAGAAGAATGGGGTTAGTGATGAACGCAGACCCCCAGTAAAAACTGATAAGAAAAAAAAGGCCAAAAATGCAAATGCAGTTAGAAAAAACGGCCATTATTTTGATTTCATTTAAAAAAAAAGAAATCTGCATAGTCCTAGTCCCGGAGCATCGTTCAGACCTGCAGACAGCGTGCGAATCTTGGTGGTTAAGCAGGTTTAAAAAGAGCACAAATAAGGTTTAAATGCGTGTATAAGGCCGGAGTAATAGTGACTACGTGCTGTGGCCCTGCTGTAGCGATTGTGGTTTTGGTTTCATACTATGCGCCTGGGTTCCGCTAGCTATTGGATAGAAAATGCGCTTTTAAAGGGATCTCTCTCTCCCCCTTTCTTTCTTTTTAAAGATACCTGCGCATTTCTGGTAACATTCTGCGTAATATTTCCCTGGAAATGCGCCCGAGAGGGACGATCCAGGCAGGATCATGTTAGAAGAGCAGACGGGAGCTGCTCTGAAAAGTTGCGCAGCTCTGGTACGGGGGCTTTCTGATCAAGAGCGTCCCATGATTGCCACTAAATCCGAACGAGAAGCCTCAGCTTAAGGACCCCCGTCCCTGGCTCCTGACAGCGCTGTCGCAAAGTGGTTTGAAGCAACAGGGACTTTCAAACGCTTGGTGTGAACACGCAGCCCGGAGCACCAGCACTCTCACCTGCTTCTCAGCCTGGGAAAAATAACCTGCCTCTCCGCTCCCATCAAGAGCTGTTGCACTCTGAGTGGAAGGAGCCGAGCCTTCTGGTGGCGGAACTACTTCAAAGGGCTTCTGTAACACAAATACCATGAAAGGCGGATGAGTGAGGCGGGCGAGCTAGGTAAACCCTCTCCCAGAACCGAGTGGGCAAGCCAGCGCCGGGCGGGAGGCTGGGGGCAGCTGCGTCTGGCGAGGCTGAGTCTTAGATCCCTTCGCAAAACTTCCTGGGGAAATTGATCGGATCGATTACCTGCCAGCCAGTGTTTACCAGTAACATTAAGCAGGGAGCCACTCTTTTCCACTTACAGGTGCCCGAGCTGATTACAGCTAGCGCAGGTAGATAGAGGGGACTCCCCAGCCTGTCATGTGAAGCCTGGCAGAATCAGGGCTTTTCCGCTATCCCCTGCCGAGGCCAGGACTAACCCTTCAGACCAGGGGCCTGGAGGGGGGGTCTCTTCTTTTGATGTTTTCATCCCTCTCTAAGCCCCACCTCATCCCGGGCTGTCTGGGCACGTACTTATCTCCACGTCTACCTGCAAAGTACTCCTCTCAAGCTGCTATCTTTGGCACAGCAGTTAGCTAACTACCGCCCCCACTTCCGTCCACCCCACATATACACACACGACACCTCCACACCTTCGCTTGATAATCATAACTTACCTAAGGATGAAATATTGCTTTCCCCCTTTGGTAAAGCCCTGGATGGGATCCCTGGGAAGGGCCAGGTCTAAAAATAACTCCCTCACCACGGCTATGCCACTGCTTTGCTTGTACACACTTTAGAGAGGAAAGCCCATTACCACTACAGGGCGCTTGCAAATATTGATCTGGTGGGCGATAGCAACTCCCAGGCGAGCTGTGCCAGGCGCTGAGTGCTTTGCCAGCTGGTCCCGAGTCCTGTTCCCTTTTTTACCAATCTAACTTTTCCTAGGCTTCCCAGGCAGGAGGGACTTGCCGGATTTATTCAGTGGAGCTCGAGCCATCCTCTGTAGCTCGGTTTGGTCAAGTCTCACCTTGTTTGCTCTCTGAAATGTACTGCAAGGGTTGTTTGAAATACCCTTCCTACCAAATCAGTGTTGATTTAAAATACTCTTGCTACAGAATAGTAATAATAGTAATATAGACGCCAATAATAGTAGTAGTAGTAGTACTAGTAGCACGTCCCTATGCTTGGGTATTGCTCGCTGTTTCATTACTGTCCCTGTTTTCCCAGTCTCTGTATGAGCCCAGCTCACAATCGCCTCATTAAGGAAGTGGATGTAAACGAATCGACAAGCGCAATAATCAAACCACTAGCTGCCTCCTAAGGCTGATCGTGTCCAGGTGCTTTGCAAATGTAAAGCCCCCCTCCCCTTGCCCCGTGGATCCTTACAGAGCAGATCTGAGCCTGAAAACTTCGAGACTTGTTTCTAGCAAATGACTTGGTGAACGGGACTCGGGTTTTTGTTGTTGTTGCTTAACCCTTCCCTGCAGTGGCTCTTTGTTCCGTGGCTGCAGGCTGGGACGTGGGTGGATGCCTTGCGCTCACTGCAAAGCTTTGCTCCAAAGCTTTAGGAAGTTTCTCAGCCCTTTGCTGTGCCTGGCCAGCCCAGCTGGGGAGCGGGTGCGGGGCATGATGGATCGCGAGCGAGCACTTGCGAAGCGCCGGGTGCGCAGGGGGCCTGGAGCCGGGCCGTGCCAGCCCCGCTCCCGCTCCAGCTCCCGCTCCCGCCCCGGCCGAGCGACGGAGGCGAAGCGCCGGGCTGAGCGCTCGCTCCTCAGCACCATGGACAGCGCGCAGCCCTGAGCCGCCTCCGCCAGGCCCGGTC